AATTACTAAATAACTCGAAAAAGAAACCGCGCAGGCAAAAACCATTTAAAATAAGGCGATTGATGCATTGGATCATTTTACCAGGGACATTTTTTATTGGAAACACATTCTTCCAACGGCAAAACCGTTAGAGAGCAAGGCGCGCTTAAAGGACCACCCTGTATAAACTGATGAATGGGTACACTATTTTATCTGAATTCCTAGCAAAGGTTAATTTTCATGTTCCTTCTAGAATATTGCGTAATAACTCAGAAGATTTTGTACCATTAATATTAAATAATATGATAAAAAAGTCTAAAAGTTTGCGAATGAACAGCTTCTCTGACTAGATATTAATTTTATGACTATATCTAAATTTAAGAAATGTGCAAAGGGAAAGACTGAATTATCTGACGTAAATGAATTAAAATTATCACTTATTGTAAATTAATGTAAATACAAATTATACGTTACTTGTATCGAAGCATCCAATTATCCCTATATATAAATTAAAAAAAAATACTAAAACTAAACGTGTTTGTTTATTGTCAATTTATTTGCAGTTTAAGTTAAGGTTTGTTTGTATTGTGAGCACACTTTTAAATACATACACCTAGTAAATTAATAATAAACAAATGATGACAAATATCTCAAATTTTCTCGAATTCTTTGTGGCAAAGTTGATTGCTTATTTCAACTATAATTTAAGATCAGGCACAGAAAAAATTTTTTTTAGTATATGTGGTATTTTGTATATACAAAAATACATACACATATTTATATTTGATATCAACATACAGCGTAGTTTATTCCCGGAACTTCAACCAACGTAACGATCTGCTATGTGACGTCACCAAAGGTACGGTTTTCCCTTTTCATTACCTGCTCCAACTACCTGCACCATCCGCTACAACCGTTCTTGTACATAACTACGCTCTTCTATCTTTCTACTTAAAAACTTGTTTCATTTACTATAATCAATTGGCTTTACTCTATTTTTTTTCTTTTCTACTATTTTTTTACCCTTATGCGGTTGTAGTTTCCCCTCTTACTTTTTTTATGAGCAAGACATTATTTTTCTACTTCTTTTTTTAAAGACCTTTTTCCTATTTTGCTAATTCTAAACCTAAAATCACGTATCTTTTTTTTACTTCTATGTTTCCAAGNGCTATTTGTTAACGACCATATATTATTTAATGTAAACAGAAATAAATACAAATCAGACATGTAAAAAAACAAAATTTCTATACAAATTCCGAAAAAGTAAACTGTAGTGAAAGTGACATTTTAAGTAAGCCAAGCAAAATTACTGATAAATTAGATAATTACTACATAAATTGAAAGTAAAAAATACACCTGATGAGGTAATATTTATCTAATTAGAAGTTAATTGTATCGGAAAATGAAATTTAACTCAATAATTATCGGTTAGTTAATAAAAAGCAAATATTTTTTTAGCTAGGTATATTCTACATTTAGATTTTTTATTCTTAAAGTCTGTGGTATATTTAATTTTAATCAGTTGATAATTAATGACAAGAAGGTAAATAAAGACTACTCTAAGTTAGAATTACTAATTTTCCTCAGTTTTTCAAATAATTGCCTATTAAAATGCGTTTGGAATTTTTACCTAATTCTGTAATATTCTCTGTCTTTTAGCTAAATTTTAGTTAGATGTTTCCAATGACTCCGTTTCTCATGACTTGTTATAAAATATTAATATATTTTTCTAAACTAAAAGATAAAATAAAATAAATTTGCCTTTAACAGAACACAATTTCACCTAGAAGTTTCAAATTTCAAAGCTACCTACATGCTTTTAACTGAATAATAAAACCTTTAAATTATGTTATTTAGTTTATTTCATTTTAAATTTCTATTTATAAGGCTACAAAGCATTCTAACTTCGTATTACATATTTCAAATAATGTTCAACCTACTTTTTATAAATAAAAGTAAAAATCTTTTTAGTTAAATATTTATAACATATGTATGTACAGTTGGTTATGTACTAAAAGGCAGAAAATAAATTTGGACATCTGTCTGAACTTTAAGAAAATCAAGTCTCTAATTAAAATAAAAATTCAAAAGTCTACCATAATCATTGAAACTTTTAGAACAAAGATAAAAAGTCAAAAACTTATCTTATACTTTTTCCGATACAATAAAGTACATAGTAAACAAACGACACATTGAATTAATTATATTCATGGGTAACGCCTTCCCACTCGGTAACAACAAAAGTTACGAATTAACAATTTTTATAATAAATAAACACTACGAAAACCACATATTTTTCGAGTACTTTCACTAAATATAGGGCTGTCCGAATTGGCAAAAAATACAATTGATTTTCATTCCTGATAAATTAAATTTTGTAGAAACAAACCGTAGCCTAAGATCCCACCGTTTAATTATGCAAGTATCTGTTTTTTCAATGAAACGTAATTCAAAAGAAAGATTAGTGAAAATGTAATACATTAGTTCAGGGTTGCCTATAAAAAAATTAGCCGCAATTACATGCAATTAAATTTATTTTGGTGGTGATCAAAAAATTACATAACCATATGTTTTTAATAACGTTTCGGTTTATTTAACCATCTTCAGACTTTTGAAGTGTTACTGCTTATACACAGATATTACTCTCAGAGTATGCAGTTGTTCAACATGATAGAAAGTTTAAAAATAAGTTAATATCTAAGATAAGCAGTAACACTCCAAAAGTCTGAAGATGGTTAAATAAACCGAAACGTTATAAAAACATAGAGTTGTGAAATTATTTGATCGCCAGCCTGGAAAAAACTACATAAGTTAATAGTAACGGTCAAGAATTTAACTTAAATTTACAAGAAAGACAACGTAAACAAGTAATATTCAAAATTCATAGTTAGCTTTTAAGAAGTTCGACCCTGTGTCGTACAAAGCAACCAGAAGAAGGTGGATATGCCGGCCGCTGTTATAATTTACAATTTTTATAATAATTAACGAGTAATATTGCTTCCATGCTGTCAAATCATTAAGCAACGACTATACCATTTATGTATATTAAAACAGTAATATTTAAGTAGTAAGAGCGAGTATTTCGATAACAAAAAGGATAGACGAT